GTGTCGCCGACGTGTTGAAGTTCCGCCACCATTTCATCTTGTTCACCTCCTTGTAGTAGGCCGCCTGGGATTCTCGGCGAATAGCCGATGACTCGTTGAATGGGGGAGTAGCCGCCTCTTAAAAGGAGTCTGTTCCGAGTCATGCAGGTAACGTCCACCAACTCTTTCCACTCCCGCCAGCTTTCACATCCGTAGGTCGCCATGGCCTTGTAGAGGATGTCCTTGAAAACGCCTCCAGCTCGTTCGGTGAGGCCTCGTTGGGTCGGGGCCTCTAACGGACCTGGAATGACCTCCGAGCCGTCATTCTCCACCTGCTTCCTGAACTCCGCCTTGAACTCCCCGCCGAGGTCGATCATAAGTTTCCTTGGGGGTCCGAAGAACCTAACCCATTGCCGGTAGGCATTCCGGGTTTCTGCGGCCGTCTCCGCCGCCATAGGCACCACCAACTGAAAATGGGAATGCCAGTCAATGATGTTCAAGGCCGGCACCGTCTGGTTCTTGTGATTTCGAAGGTGCACGGTGTCCACTCCCACCAAGTCATTGATGAAGAGGTCCTCCCTGGGTGGTGCTCCTTGGCGAACCGGCGCTGGTACCTTATAGGCCTCGCAAACTGAACATTTCAGCTCCTTGGCGATCTCGAGGGCTTCCTGGCTTACGCCACTGTGTCTTAGGATCCGGAGGAACCGGCCGGGCTCCGGATGTCCGAGGCCTTCATGGGCCCTCATGACCATGCGCTGCAGCGTCACTTGACCCATGCCGGGAAAGTGATTGGCCCGCTTCTCCTTCCTTCCATCCAGCCGCTTCCGGTAAATCGTCACGACGTTGCCTGGTACTTGTAGAGGTCGTCCTGAAGCTGGTAGCTCTTGCCATCGTACTTCGTCTTCAAGACACTGCCAGGAGCCATCCACGGCTATTGTCCAGCTTGACCTCCAGGGAAAACTTCCGTGCTCTTCCTCCGGCCCCGGTGTCGGTAGCATTCCGGCATTGTGTTGCACCACCGCCACCATTCCGTCATTGAGAACGTACTTGCCCTCGGCCTCGATCATGGCACGGGTCACTCCGTAGTGCCCAGGAACCATTGCCGCGTCTTCCCCAGGCTCCGGCTCTTCCGCATGTAGAATCTCCTTGGTGTAGGTTTCGAAGTCCACATTCTCATTCCGGAGCTCCTCCTGTTCGGCCGGATCGAAGTAGAAGACGTCGTGCCAGTAGTCCTCCATGATCACCTCCTCGGCGTCCTTCACCTTGATCTGGTCGTAGTGCTTGTGGATCATGCCGGCATAGGCCTTGACTGATATCTGACCACCACGTGACTTGGACGGTACCTTGTGCTGTTCCATACGGGGAACCATGCTGGCCATGTTCGTGCAGATGATGGACTTGTGGCTTAGTTGCCCTCTACGGTTCTGACCATCTCGCCCTCCATCGCGTCCTTGATC